AATGTTCTTATTGTTTAGTTGTACACACTGAAATATTTATAGATGAAATGATGCCTTGTACTACTCTAAAATAATATGGAAGTAGGGAAAAAAGAAGAGGAGGAGGAAGAGAAAGCAGAAACCAGATTGGCTACAAGATGATAATTACTTAAATTAATTAATGGGGTCGTAATAGTAAATGAAGACATTTTCAGATAAAAGGAAACTGAAAAAATTTGTCGTCAGGAGACCTGCAGTAAAGAAATGCTAAAGGATGTTCTTCAGGCTAAGGAAATTGATGCCAGATGGAAACGTGGTTTTATAAGCAGGAACGAGGAGCACAGGAAATGGTAAATGTGTGGGAAAGTAAAAAAATTTTAAGTCACTTTAAAGACTCATGACTGTTTAAAGCAAAAACAATGTATTGTGGGGTTTATAACATTAGTAGATGTAATATATATAACAACAAAAGCACAAAGGATGGTGAGAACTGTAGTGTTGTACTTTCTTTAATTTTACAAGAATAGTAACTCTAAGTAGACTACAAAAAGTTAAGGAAGCGTATCATACTTCCTAGCAACAATTTAAAAGAGTAAAGCAAGAGGTATCCTGAAAAACCAAATAAGGACTTAAAATGGAATACAAAAAATATATATATATTAATTCAAACCCAGGAAGGAGAGGAGAAATAAAGTTTCATAAAACAACGGGACAGCCAAATAACAAAATTGAGACTTAGTTTCAATCATATCAATAATTCTATTAAATATAAGGGGAATACACTCTCAAAGGTAATTGTGAAATGAACTAAAAAAAAAATCAACAATAACAAGAAGATCTAACTGTATCCTGACTACAAGGGATTCGCTTTAAATATAAAGATACTGATTGGATAAAAGTAAAAGGATAGGAAAAGATATTCCACGCAAATAGTAAGCATATAAAAGTAGGATGGCAATTATTAATATCAGACAAAATAGACTTCAAGACAAGGGAATATTACCAGAGAGACAGAGAGGGACATTTTATGATGAGAAAAGGATCAGTTCATCAAGAAGTCATAACAATTATAAACATGCATGTACCAAATAGCAGTTTCAAATTACACGAAACAAAAACTGACTGAATTAATAATAGAACTACACAAAAAATATAGAAAAACTGAGCAACTTTCTCAACCTTCTTGACATAATATTTACAGAAAACCAACAATTTGCAAATATATGTTCTTTTTAGGAGCAAAATAACATTCACCAAGATACATAATTTCCTAGTTCACAAAATCAGACTCATTACATCTCAAAATTGTTGAAATCATAAGTTCTTTAACAAGGCAATAAATTTGAGATTAATTAAAATATCTTTTTTTTTTTTTTAAAGATTTTTATTGGGTAATTGGGGGGATGGGAACAGTACTGGGGAATTAGGGGAAGGGGAACAGACAAGTTGCTGTCGTTTTGTTCTTCAATCTAGTTGTGGAGGACACTGCTTCACTGGCCCAAGTTGGCACCATCATTGCGCTCTTCCCTGGCGAGGCAGATCAGTCGCCGGCTTCTGGACGGCCGCTCACTGCGGCTGCTGGCCGCTCACGCTGGCTGCTGGCTACACACGGTAGCCCATGGCAGCCCACTGCCACAGGGGCTGCAGCCTACGCCGTCGCCAGCGACTCACGGCAGCCCAGCTCCAGGTCGAGCTGCTGTTCAGCATCTTAGCTGTGGTGGGCAGTGTCACTGGCCCTCATATGTGGGATCCAAACCGGGGCCGTCTGGCATCCCAAGCGAGTTCCCAACCATTGCGCCACTCGGCCGGCCCTAAAATATCTTTTAAAATCCCCAAGCATTTGAACATTAACTCGCTTATAAATAACCTACAGTCAAAGAAGAAATCACAAGGGAAATTAGAAAATATATCTAATTGAATGACAATAAAAATACAACATATCTAAGTGTGGGGGATACAGCTAAAAGCACATGTTAGAGGGAAATACATTATTTAAATGCTTATATTAGAGAAGAAAAAGCGTTTACAATTAATTATCTAAATTTCCACCCTAAGAAACTAGAAAAAAATAGCAAATCACACCCAAACTAAGTAGAAATAATGAATAGTAGAAATTAATAAAATAGAAAATGGACAAACAATAGAGAAAATCTATGCAAACAAAAGCTGTTTTTTTTTTAAAACAGTAATAAAATGTTAAACTCCTAGCAAGAGCAGCAAAGGAAAAAAGAGAGAAAACACAAATTGACAAATATCAGGAATGAAAAAAGGGGCTATTGCTATAGATCCTATAAACATTAAAAACAAAATTATCAATAATTTTAGACTAATAAGTTCAACAATTTAAATTCAATAATAGTTGTTTTGTAGATTCCATAGTTGTTTGTAATTGCTGTTTTGTAGATTCTACCTACAGGCACATGAATTGAGACAGTTTTACAGTTTCCAATATGTGTGCCTTTTACTTATTTTTTTCTTGTCTTATTGAACTGGCTAGGATGTACTTGTTAAATTGAAGTAGTGAGAGAGTGGACATTGTTACTTTTTTCCTGATGTTAGGGGAAGGCATTTAATATTTCACCACTAAGTGTGATTTAGCCAGAGGTTTTCATTCTAATTGCTTTGGGAAGCCATTGTAAGGTTTTACTTGCATGAGTGACATTATCTAAGTTGCATTTTAAAAAACCACAAAGGGCTGCTGTGTGGAGAACGGGCTCTAGGAAGTCGAGAGTGGAACAGGGAACAATCAAGAGGCTTTTACAATAGCGTTGGAGAGAAGTGGAGGTGCTTTGGACGAAAGTGATGGCAGTGGAGATGGAGAGAAGTGGTTGGATTGGGGGCTACATTTTGTAGGTAGAGCTGACAGGATTTGCTGAGTTATTGAATTTGGGGTAAAGCGGAAAAGGAGAGGGGGACGTAAACAACCAGAGTTATAGTTTAAACAACTAGATTTATTTCAGATTTTTTTTCCCTGTGGAGTTGAGATATTTTTGTTATTTATCTTCTTTAGAAAGGATCATTAAAAGTAGATACAGTATTTTAAAAAAGTCTAGCCTTATGTTATTTAGGATTTAAGTGTGTGTTTTTTTTAAATAGGTGGAACATTAGAGAAAGAATAATGATTAATATTTATACTGGATTTTTAGTCCATTTTAGATATTAGTGTTCTGAACTAAATTTCTGTATCTCTTTTTAGGTTTGTCCAAGACCGGTTCCCAGGAAGAACACAAGTGGCCAAAGTGGATTTCTCTACAGTGTTACCACGCTTCATTTCTCTCTATATCTTTTCCTTTCTGAATCCGAAAGATTTATGTGCAGCTGCACAAGTCAGCTGGCCCTGGAAGTTTTTAACTGAACAGGTTTACTACTTGTCATTTCCTAGTATTAGGGCCCAAATACAACAATAATCTGTAATGAGGCAACTGGGGTAGCTTTCTTCCCTGAGGATAATAACGGAGGATATCTGAATCATACTATTAACTTACTCTTAGAGGAAAAATATAGGGGTAATTTAAATACAGTAATTTATTTTGTAAGTAAGGGGATATACACTCTTCTAATAATTCATGTATTTTTAATGATCTTTAAATACTCAGTTATTTAGAAAACATTTTATCTTGGCTAAAGAAGTCCAAGTTTTTCCATGAAAAATTGTTTAAGCTTTGGTGTTTCTATGATAATATTTTATCCATGATAACTCACTTCAAAAATTGCTATATAACCACAACTTCAACTGATCTCTCTTTGGCTAGCATCTGTTGAAGAACATAAATCTAGATTTTCAACCTCTTCTGCCATTAATCCTGCCTCTGGCCTATTGTCTCTTCATTTTCTTTGTAAAGATTTAATAAAATGTAATGGTAGACAATACTTTAAACATAAGTCAATAATTTACTTCTTTAACTTGTATGCACTTTACAGGGTGGGCTTGTGTTGAGATTCTGATCTCAGAGAATACCCCCTTCTCTATGGTGGGGCCACGTGCAAAAGCCAACTGTGAGCCCTTAATTTGTAGCATTTAAGAATTCAGGCTTAGTGTTGGCCTGATATATTGTTTTCTTTTTACTTTCAAACTTTCTGTGTCCTTATATTTCAGGGATATATATTGTAAGCAAGTGGTGGTGGTGCTGGTTAACATTTGGCAATCTTTGATTTTTAGCTGGAGTAATTTAATCTGTTTTCGTTTATGTAAATACTGATATATTGGGGCTTAAGTCCACCATTTTATTATTTATTTTTTGTTTGTTCCATGTGTTTTATTTAATTTTTTCTCTTCTTGTCTTCTTTTGGAGTACTTAAATATTTTTTAGATTGTTAATTATAAATTCTTTAGCAGTTATTTCATGGCTACTATAGAAATTACTACAGTCAGCCTAGGGTTACTTTACCACTTCTGAGATAATATAAAAAGCTTAGAACCCTTTAACTCCATCACCCCACCACCCTCCATTTCTATGCTTTTGTTGTCAAATATTTTAGTTTTATATATATTTAATTATATATATATATATATAAAATACACACACACACACACACATATATATATATATATGTATATAGTCTTGTGATGTATACATATACTATTGTTTTAGAGAGTCAATATTTATTTATAAGTAACCACATCTTTACTTTTTCTCTTGCTCTCCATACCTTCCTGCATCTCTGAGTTTCCCTTTGGGATTATTTTCCTTCTGAATTATCTTTAATATTTCTTTTAATGCTGCTTGCTGCTGACAAATTCTCTTAGTTTTTGTCTGAAAATGCATTTCACCTTCATATTTGAAGGCTATTGTTACTGGAAATTTGAACTCTAGGTTGGCAGTTAATCTTTTTATAGAACATTGAAAATTTTCCACTGTTCTCTGGCTTCCATAACTTTTTTTTTTTTGAGAAGTAGAAAGTTTATTGTTTTTCCTTTAAAGGTAATATTTCTATTTTCTCTAACTGCTGTTAGGATATTTTTCTCTCTTTCTTGTTTTCTGCAATTGTATCATGATGTACCAAGAGGGGTGTGTGCATGTGCGTGTGTTTATCCTGCTTTGTGTTTTGCAGTGATTTTTGAATCTGAGATTTAATGTCCTTTACCCATTTTGAAAAGTTCTCAGATGCTGTCTCTTTATATATTGCTTCTGCTCCATTTTTTTCTCTTTTCTTCTGGGATTCCAAAACTTATACCTTCGACTGATTCACCACACCCCATAAATTTCATATTCTCTCATATATTTTTTCCATCCTTTTGGCCTTCAGTGTTTCAGTCTGGACTTTTCTTCTGGCTGGTATTTCAGTTTACTGATTCTCTCTTTAGCTGGTTTCTACTTTGCTCTTAAACGGGCCCATTGAGTTCTAAATTTCAGTTATTATATTTTTCAGTTCTAGAATGTTGATTTGATTATTTTGCCAAAATTTTCACCTAGCCATTTAACTTCTTAGACATACAGAGGGTGCCAAAAATTGTATACACATTTTAAGAAAGGAAAAAAAACTGTATTAAAATTATCATGATGGTAACCACTTTGAGCACCTCTTGTAATTGAAGAAATCAAACGTGACTTGTGTTCCCCCTTTGTTATTGGTATGTATTGAGTATTACAATTTTAATACAGTTTTTTCATTTCTTAAAATGTGTATACAGTTTTTTGGCATTTGTATTAATTATAGATTTTCTTTAAAGTTCATGTCTGAACATTTCGATGTCTGGGTCTCCTGAGGGTCTCTCTCTATTTACTAGAAGACAAAAAAAGAAACAACACAATTCTTGTCTTTTTGTGTGCTTGGTAATTTTGATTGAGTACCAGATACTGAGTATAAGAAATTCATGTGATAATTTGTGTCTATGGATGTTATTATCTCCCCCCAGAAAGAAACTGCTTTCACTTCTGACATTTTGTATGACTAGGAACAGATCCCTTAAATACAATCAGAGAATGAGATATTTCAAAGCTATCTTCAGTCCTGGGGATAGGTTACCCACCCTTTATCATCCTTACTGAAAGTCTGCTGTGGTTACCAGCTCTCTTCCTCTTAGTGGGCCCTGAATTTAAATTTGTTTCTTCTCTTCCCTGTGAGAACGCCTGAAACTCTTTATAGCTTCTAAGTCTTCCAGCCAGAACTTTCTGCTCTGCTTCTCATCCTAAGCTTTACTTTGTAACTGTCAAATTTCCTGAAGTTAAAGTGATGCCAACTCTCAGGCTTAGTTTCCTGGATTCCCCTTCTCCCTGGGGTCGTGTCTGCATAGGTCCTTACTGCATTGGTAGCTCCACATGACTTCAAGTGATTGTTTTATAATACTTTGTCTAGTTATTTAATTAAACCTTGCTGTTTTCATATATCAACACTGGTTGCATGTTGGCAATATCATATGGTTCAATCAAAGTTGTTGTCAGTATGAGGGCTGGTCTGAAACGAACTACCACACCATTGCTAGAAGCAGAATTTTCAGAATCTAGGGTTAGAGTAACCAAATGCTATGAGAGCACTGGGTAACTATTTAAAGATGACTAATACATATATTCATATATAATGTATATGTTCATCAAAGGGTATTATTCCTATGGGGTAAGTTTCTTATCTCTCATAGTCAAGTTTAGATGGTAGGGTAACTGCACTAGAAATCTCAAAGTAATAAAAAAAAACAATTATCTATGTGCCTGAAAACATTACTACTAGGAAACTGTCCTTTAAAAAATTTGCCACTCGTCCTTCTCGTTTCTTTTTCTGAAGGATTGCTTATGGATGCCCAAGTGCATCAAGTTTGGATGGTTTCTGCCCTATACGCCAACAGATCATGAGTACGGGGCTTGGAAGCACCATTACTTGGCCTGTGTGTCCAACTTAGATTGGCTGACACCGAGGGAAGCTGCTGCTATTTATGGGACCCTGAATGAACCCAAAACAGCCGATGAGGAGCTACAAGAGAGACAAAGAGAAAAATGCCTCAGGAAAATAATTTGGGAGAAAATTGCATTACGTAAGAGTGAGTGGCATTTTAAAACTTTATATCTTAACCAAGTGTTGTAGAAAGCAATGGATTTACATACAAATTCCCACAGAGGAGAACAGTGCTATGTATCTGGAATAGTGGTGGGTGGCATTCTCTGAAGTATGATCAGGACAATTTCTTTTTTGTTTCTCTTTTTTTCACCATATAGTTCAAGTTAATTAATAAGAAAAAAAATTTTCAGATGAAATATATACCATCAAATACCAGGGCCTCCATTGCTGTCCTAGTTCCTCTCAGGTTTATAAGACCAAAGATGAGGAAAGAGAAGTTCGAACACAGGCAAAAACAAATAAATAGGTTCAGGACAATTCAGAAGAATTGGGATTGGTGAAAAAGGAGGAGAAAAGAAAATGAGAACAAAAGCAGGAAGAATGGTATTTGTAAAGGGGAAAGGGAGTAGGGATGAGACATGCTTTCAGCTAAGCCATCTGATTTGCACAGTGTGTAAAAGGAATCAACAAAACTGATCTGAGCGCTCCCATTTTTTTCTTTTTTTAACTGACTCACCCTCTGTGAGATGGTAACAAATGGGAAATTACTTGAAGCCAAGAAAAAGGGCAGAAATAGATGTGAAGTCTATAAATTGAGGAGGTGGTTTCCACAAGAAAAAGAGTTGCTTGTTCTCTGAGCTTTGTTTCTTGACCTGAAATGACTGGGGACTCGCAGCCCCAGTGCTGAGAGGATAAGAAATCCAAACAGAGCCTGTAAAAATGGCTATCGTGATTGCCATTTGGATTACTGCCCTGGTACAGCTTTATTTTTGATGCCTTTATCTATGGAGACTTGGCGGGGAGATGCATGAAGGAAACAGCCGAGCGGCTGCTGTTTGTTTTTCAGAGGAGTTACTCAGAGTTCGACCCCCTTGGGTGAGCGGAACATGCTGCTCTAGATTGGTAAAATCCAAATGCCAACCACGTCTCTCCCAGGCCGTGAGGGATCGGCTGGGATTACATGAAGCTTTGGAGAAGCAGCTTGTTTTGGCATCCTTAGAAGCTTTGCCTAAGAGGTAAGCAAACCCCCATCTACTGAAGGCTCAGGACTATCCCCCTGATACCAAGAATTCATTCTAGAATAATTTAACTGACATGCAGGGATCTTGCATAATTATATGGCTCTTATCCTACGAAATAGCAAGAACAGTGGTCTTTGAACATGCTTTCTGAAGAGGGCAATATGTAACATTCAAAATTTACATTTCAAATATTCTTAGCCCTGCAAAGAGGCTATATGGAGGATATAGTATATTTTCCATATAAAGTTACTGAACAAAAATATCAATTTTCCATAAATTTTTTTTAATGGAGTAAGCATATCCAAATGGTAATGTGTGTGTGTGGGGGGGTGGCCGTGGAGAGAATGGGGAGATTACTCAGAAAATTATGAGGCCTGGATGATTAAGGACGTTTAAAATCTCTCAGTTGCTCCTTTTCAAAATGTCGTTTTGAACCCCTAAGTTTGTCACTACATTTGTTTTAAGCGCCCCACAAAAGCTAAGTTCCAAGAAACCTTTCTGGCATCCTATACATGGAGAGAGGAGGCCCAGGGCAGCATTGGCCCCACCCCACCTAGGAGCCCCATTTGCTGCTGTCCCCGAATCACAGAGGGAGACTGAGGCCACCTGCCTTGCATGCAGTATAACTGATGCTCAGAGAACATACATATTGGTGCTCACTTATCAAAGTCAAATGAAGTGAGAATGAGAACTTCACTTACTCCCCCTTTTTTCCTATAGAAGCAATGTTTCTGGAAGCCATTCCTATCCTCTATTATCAAAGAAAAATTGGCGTGGAGTTAATAAAAATGATGACAGACCTTCATATGCTTTCCAGCCACACTTCATATTAATATCATCTCGGATCCCTGCCTATGAGGTACAGAGTGTGCTAAGAGGCCCGGCCTTTTCGGAATCAGTTTCTTTCATCTACACTACAGGGTGTGTGGCAATCTTTTGGCCACCATGTATGAAATTGATTCAGCTCTTAAAACAAAACTGGTCTGATCTAAGTGGAAGTTTACAGACACAAAACAGTTTTTAAAATGAGAAGCAATAAAGATAACCATAAATCAAAATTATTTTTAAGGAAGCATTACAGCACCCAAATTGCCTTGCATTTATTAGTAGGAGTGCAATAAATTCTTGAATTTGTTGCACTTAATCCACAAAAGAGCAAGGTGATTACAGATTATTTTAAAACTTCTTTGGAATGCCCATGACTTTTAATAATGTCATGTAACCACCATCTCTCAAAAGAAGAACGAATATCAGAAATTCTATTCCTATTAAATGAGGATGCCATTAAATTAAAATATGTTCTTTGTATAATGAAGTTAAACATTTTCATTTTAATATGAATAAGAAAAATAAAGGAAATACAAAGAAGACATAGGAAGCATGTATTTATATATGGGTATATAAGTGTATATGTATATACATTAATACACATATAAGGAATAGGTAAGGGACAGCATTTAGTAGGTTATATTCATTGGCCTACTTAAAATGTCCAAAAAAAAAAAAGATTCCTATTTGGAACACAATGATTGCTTTTAAGATATGAAATCACTTCTCTTTCTGGACATCTAGGAATCGACCTAGATCATTTACAATGGCTAGCTTAGTGGATCCACATGAAAACAAGATAAGCGTTTTGATCTCCACATGGGCCGTAAATAGTTTCCCTAATGTTTAAAAACGCATCATGCTGGTGACAGAGTATGGGTGAATAAGCTGGTATAAAATCAGTCCATTCTCCTACTTGTCTTCTATATATAAAACTATGTCATAATTACATATTTGACTATGACGTGATGGGAATTGGGGTAAGAAGTAGGGTGTAATCATGTGGTAGTTCTATATTCAGTTGAACTATGACCTCCAGGAAGTGGCATCAGATTTTGGAAAACATCAGTGATTTCAATGACTTTCCAACCTGCCTGCTGCTAGTGAATTAATTTTATCACAATGAAAAGTTTATTTGGTTATTGAATTCAAAGAATAGTGGTTTTAATTTTTATTTCAATGGGAAATACTTATCAATCAATATTTATAATTAAAACATTCATAATTAAGAGGAAAACTAAATCTATGTAAGAAGTCTATTGCAAAATTGAATGATCTCAATTTTATTATTTTTTAAACGTTGTATATTTATCTCTGTGCATGGGCGAGTACAAAGATAAAAAGGCTAGAAGAAACTAACCTAGCTTGTTAATAGTATTTATCTCTAAGTGATGGAGTTACAAATGTATTTAATTTACTCCTGTTATAATTAGAAAAGAAATACTTTAAAAGGTCAGTGAAGAGAAAGCTTATCTTCCTCTTTCCATAATTTCTGTGGGGGAAAAAAAATCAGTCTTTAAAAATCACAGATTATGTATTCACTAAATTAATTTTGTTAATAAACAGTCTAAAATAATGGGCTTTGGTTCCTACAGCTTTGCTTTCATCTCTTAGATGGTGGTGAACAGTGTTAGAGCAGGTGTAATTTCTGTGGTGTATGAACACAGTGGCATAACCTTGGAGAGCCTGCTTTATCTCATAGAAAAAGCTCTGGCTGGGCAGACGGCACAGAGTATGGGAATATTTAGTGATGGAGACAGCAGGGAAATCAATTTACTCCAAGGTAAGATGGGATTGGAAAGAACAACTAACTTTGCACTGACGTAATGTTTGTCCACATGTATGACCTTTCAATTGCTATTTAAGTTCCAATTTGCTAAAAAGGTTGATATCCCAGATCAAAGCAGTCAAGCAGGAGGAGTTCCCTCTTATTCAAGGGAAGGGCAGCCTTTTTGTTCTGTTCAGGCCTTCAATTGATTTAATGAGGCCCACCACTATTTCTCTGATGAGTAGTGATGCTGAGCACCTTTTTATATGCTTGTTGGCCATTTGTGTTATCTTCTTTAGAGAAATGTCGATTCAAGTCCTTTGCTCATTTGTTAATTGGGTTATTTGATTTTTTTTGTTATTGAGCTGTTGACATTCTATATATAGTCTGGATATTAACCCCTTATCAGATATATGATTTGCAAATATTTTCTCCCACTCTGTAGGTTGCCTTTCACTCTGTTAATTACGTCCTTTGATGCAGAAAAGGTTTTAAGTTTGATGAAAGTGAAGCAATTTTAATAGTAGCAAATATGAAGATCTATAAATGGGTGTGCATTAACAACATTTGTTATATTTCCAAGTGGCTATGCCACAAAGGAAAGGATCGGCTGATATCACTAACTTGTTATGGGCCATCTTTTAAAAAGTTCAGTGGTTACCATTTTGGGGGGGAAGGAGATGATAAATTTGTAGAAACAAACTTTCAGTTTCTATATTTCCTCATACTATAATTTTCACCCTTCCTTGCTTATACCTAAAATAGAATTGTTTTAAGTTTTGCTAACAGAAATTGCCCATTTTTGTGGAATGAGGGAAGGGAGGGAATAGATGGTCTAGGATCCAGCTGGCAGGGAACTCACACAATGGCAGAGTGAGTGCCTGAATCACCCATCAAACTGCCATCTCTGTGGCTGGAACTCAGCAGACTTGGAATAGTTTTAGTGAATTTTATTATTAGCACAAACTAACTGCTTTCGGTTCAGCTTTGCATTATTTTTGGCTTTTCTTGGTTAGTTTACCTGTGCCCAGAGCAAGCTGTTGTTCTGCATTCAATTTATATATCCCCCCAAAAGTAAAGCACAGCTGCTATTTATGGTATAAATTTATGATTCATTACATGGTGGCCCTTCTATAAATGGTGGAGAAGAATCGAGTGCAAGTTTATACTGTGGTAGTAGGTTCACCTCATATGGAGTAGAAGAGCCTGTTAGGGTTTCCTGATCTCAGCCCTTTTGTTCTCCAGATGAGAAAGGTTTCTAAACCCTGCCTTTTCCTTGTTTTCTTCTTTTTTTAAAGCAATAGTAGCAATAACAAAAATACCTCAGAAAACTCAAGTTTCCTTTGATATAATTGTGGTGTTTTCCCAAAAGCTTTCACCTTACGCGTAAAAACAACATAATGAAATCTCTTATTTGAGTCACCTGAAGAGGTCCTTCCATTGTGTATCTAGACCTCTTGATGCAAAGGAGTGACCTGTCAGGACTCTTGTGCCTGACTGTTTTCATTTCATTTCTGGGGCGTAGCAATGCCAAGTCAGGACTCCCTCGAAATGGGCCCAGATGCAGGAGAGCTGAGTCATCTCACACAATTTCCAGGAAGTGAGGGTTCCAGTGATGTTGACCGTCTCTGGGGCCTTACTTCCACTCTGAGCAACTTATTTTTTGATTGACAATGTGGGAAACATTTCTACTTCAGAACTTGGTTGCAAAATCCCAGGAATTGACTTGCCCTCAGTCCTGCTCCGAGCCTGGTAATTTACAGTGCTGCCCAGCGGAGGCAGAAACGCAACATCCTAAACTACATGCACAATGTCCAATAAACCCAGAATATGAAGGAGACCGTGGTACCTCCTCCATGATGGAGTCTAGTGGTACCTCTGTGGCCCTAACATGGTACGGCCTTGAAGCCAAGGTGCCCTACAGAGCTTGGTCTTAGGAGCAGATGTTGGCCTTTTGAATTGTGGTTCTGTATTCACAAACTGCTGAGAGTTTCTGTTCATGATAATATTACAAATTAATATTTTGATTTTTTCCCCTCAGGCTATAAAATTGGTATTAAAAATGTATTGAGGCCTGAAGTGAGAGATTTCTGGGAGAAATTAGGAAGCTATGTGGCCCCTGAAAAAGAAGGGGGGTCACGTGGACCTCTTTGTACCACTTGGAGCATCAGGTCAGTTTTGAAAGTTAGTGGTCACGTCTACTTTATAATGATATTTTGGGAATTTGTGAAATACCCTCAGTTCAAATGATCCAATCACATTTACTCTTTCTTTTTTGCTTTATACCTCATGTCCTGAGGTATTTAGGGGGAAAGGGCTTTGGGGTTAGTAGTCAGAGAAAACTTGCCTGCAGAAATAAAGTCACTAGTGGCAAGAGCCAGCGAGGAACGTTATTTCTATTTCTTCTGGAAAATACAGTAAAGTCAGGCTCCACAAGACAAGGGAAAGCGCCTGACCAGCAAAGGAACCGTAGCTGGTCAAGCTGAGAAAATTTTCCCTGCTGTGTTCCGAACCTGGGGTGGGTGAGCGTGAACTTGGTGACTAAAGAAAGACCTGGACTTGAATCCCACTTATGCCACTTGAGCTGCGTGGCTTCAGGCAAGTTTGAGGACCTCCATTTCCTCATATGAAAGTCACAATAATAGTACCTTACCTTATAGAACGTGTGAATATCAAAATAAGATAAAAACTTAATACAAATAAATAATAATATAATATTGGAACACTGAAGACACTGAAGTGCTTTGTAAAGATGAGTGAGGTTGATCACTGAGGTTTGCTGATATAATTTTAAGTGCCTACTTGTCTAGTATCAGCTACTATAATTCTTTTGTTATTGTTTTTTAGATTTTTTTTTTAATTGGGGAATTGGGGGAAGGGGAACAGACAAGTTGCTGTCGTTTTGTTCTTCAGTCTAGTTGTGGAGGATGTTGCTTCACTGGCCCAAGTTGGCACCATCATTGCGCTCTTCCCGGGTGAGGCAGATCAGTCGCCGGCTTCTGGATGGCTGCTCACAGTGGCTGCTGGCCGCTCACACTGGCTGCTGGCTACACACGGTAGCCCATGGCAACCCACTGCCACAGGGGCTGCAGCCTACGCCGTTGCTGGCGACTCACGGCAGCCCAGCTCCAGGTTGAGCTGTTGTTCAGCATCTTAGCTGTGGAGGGCAGTGTCACTGGCCCTCATATGTGGGATCCGAACCGGGGTCCTCTGGCATCCCAAGCCAGCTCTTAACCATCGCGCCACTCGGCTGGCCCATATAATTCTAAGCTCATTTCAGTTCTTGAAGGGAAATTTTAGAAACATTAAATCAAATTCACTAATTTTAGGTATCTGTTAAATAAAAGCTCTACATTCATGGGCTATGTATGAGTTTGGGTTTTTTGATTGTTTGTTTGTTTCTTTTGTTTTTACCAAGCAGAGAAGGGGACAGGGAGTGTAAAATTAAGTTTTCTCAAATTGTTTCTCATTCCCATTCCTCAGGGACTGTGAGTTTTAAAGTTCTTGATTTTCAAACTCCACTGGAATTTGAAATTCCACTATTCAATACATGGAACATGCCCCTCGCAAGCTTCAACCAGGGGAAAGGATAAAAACAAAAGGGTGGGAAGGGGTTTAAAAGAGAATGAAATATAAATTATTGTAACAATTTTTTTTACACAGCTATTACAATTATATAACCTCAACTATGTAGAAACTGCATAAAAATCTATGAGGAAATATAGCAAAATATTAACAGAATCTATCTCTAGGTGTGTTTTTCAAATTTTCTACTTTTGAAATCAGCTTTTAAAGAGTAGGTTACAGAGAATATGGATGGTGTGATCCCAGTGTTTAAAATCTGTGTATGTGTGGGGAGGGTGGTGGTGATGTATATATAGAAAAGGGTTTGGAAGGATGTATACCAAGGTGTTAACAATAATTGAATAAGGTGATAAATAAAAGGAAGGAAATATCACTTATTTTCTTTTATCTTATTTGCCTCTATTTTCTGTAAAAAAACTAGTATTACTTTTATAATGAGAGAAAAGCAAATTTTTTAATTGGAGTAGAAGAAAAAGAAAAAATATGGGAAAGTAAAGTACTGAAAGGCAGAGAATAAGGGCAAAAGGACAATAGATTTGGTGACATAAAAATCGTCTCAAGTGAAACTTAATGGCACTCAAACAATAGATTTTCCACCACATTCTAGGCCTGAAAAACCATCCCCGAACTTCTTGTCAAATGTAAGTTGCACATGCATGAACCGTCAAGACCCTGGTTCACTCAGAAGACCATGGCTCCTCAGCCCCAAAACCCCTTTTCCACCACCTCAGGCATCTCCCTTGGGCTTGTCACCCCCAGTATTGCTTCTGAAATCTTGATCTCAAGCACCTGTCTCTCTAAGTACCACTTCCAAATCATGTACTTAGTAGTTCCACTCTATCAATTCTTTGTCTGAAGACCTCTAATCCACACCCTCCCATTTTTTCACTATCACCGTGGCTTTGTCCTTGGTTCCTTCCTTGTTAAGCTTGGGTTTAATGGTTCATCATTATCATTACTATCTTGCAAAGAATCTGAACTTCTTTGTCCCTCTTTCTCCTGGCTAAATCCCAACTCATTTGGCTGAATGCCAACGGTCAAAACACCACCATCTTCATAATCTATGCCTGCCTGCACTAAAGCAGCTGAAAGCTGTTGGAAAAAACAAAACAACTATTCTTATGGACTGGACTTTACTGGCATCAATATCAAGTGGGATTGCCGCACTGATAAGCAAGCTTACCATATTTCCTTGATAAGTTCATTTCCCCACTTTTTTTTTTTTAAAGATTTTTATTGGGGAATTGGGGGGATGGGAACAGCGGTGGGGAATTGGGGGAAAGGTAACAGACAAGTTGCTGTCGTTTTGTTCTTCAGTCTAGTTGTGGAGGACGTTGCTTCACTGGCCCAAGTTGGCACCATCATTGCGCTCTTCCTTCGCAGATCAGTCACCGGCTTCTGGACGGCCGCTCACTGCGGCTGCTGGCCACTGGCTACACACGGTAGCCCATGGCAACCCACTGCCACAGAGGCTGCAGCCTACCGTCGCCAGCAACTCAAGGCAGCCCAGCTCCAGGTTGAGCTGCTGTTCAGCATCTTAGCTGTGGAGGGCAGTGTCACTGGCCCTCATATGTGGGATCCGAACCGGGGCCCTCTGGTGTCCCAAGCCAGTTCTTAACCATCGCGCCACTCAGCCGGCCCCATTTCCCCACTCTTTAAGATGACTACTATATCCCGTCTCCTCTTTACTCAATCTTTCAATAACCCTCTCTCAGCTGTTGATCTCACCTTTTACTTCCCTAAGAAAACTCCCCAATTTCCCTCCCTCCACCAAACACACCACCTACCCCACCTCTTACCATCATTCTCTGTCTTCTCTGTGCTTCTCTGGCAGAAGCACCCCTGCTCAAATCAAAGATCAACTACTCCACTTGGACTCTGTAGCCTGTTGCCTTTCACCTTCTTGATCATTCCTACTCTCAAATCCTCTCCTGTCGCCTCAATTCTCTCTCCTTATTGAATCATTTATATCAAATCAGGAACACCTGTGGTAGCTTCTGTCCAAAATAAAGAAAAAGGAGAAACCATAAAGTTTCCCTCACCACATTTTGAGTTGACTATACCAGTGGCTCTCAAACTTTACTGTGTACTTGACTCACCTAGAGAGCTTGTTAAAAGACACATTGCTGGGCCCACCGTTGAGCCTCTGGCTCAATAGGTCTGGGATGGAGCTCAGAATTTGCATGTCTAACACGTTCCCAGGTGCTGCTGCTGCTGCTGATCCAGGCGCCACATTTCGAGAACCACTGGTCTATGCTAACTGCCTCTACCTTCCTCACCTGTTGGTCACTCCTCAAGCTCCTACAGGTGCTTTCATTATCTGTACTGAAATTGCTTTTGAAGACTATCAGTGACTTCCATGTGCCCAAACCCAGTGGTGCCTTCTCCATCCGCACTTTGGTTTGACCTCTCAGCAGCATTTGATGTGGAGGAACATTCCTTTAAACTCCCCTACTTCCCTTGGTTTCCCTCATCCCACACACTCCTTGTTTTCCTCTTACCTCAGTGGCCGCTTCTTATCATCTCCTTTGCTGGCTCCTTCTCCTCGGCAGCAGGCCCCTTAAATGTGCCCAGGGCTTAACGCTGGGATCGCTCCTTTCCCATGACTGCTCTTTCCTCCTAGGCAGCCTCACCCACTCCTAAGACTCTATACTCAATCTGTATGCTGGTCACTCCCAACTGTGTGCTCTCGGCTCTGATGCCGCTGAGCTGCAGATGCATATCTAGCTCCTACTTGACATCTTCATATAGACATTTAGTTTGCATGTCAAATAGCATCTCAAAGTTAATACACCTAAAACAAACTTTTCATTTCTCCGCAGGCCCAGACCTACGCCTCCCCAGGATTCCTCAGTTAAGATATCATTCACCCCGTTACTTCATAAACCTCCATAAAGCCAAAAACCTAAAATTCATCTTTTGGGGGCATCCTGTTAAAAAATGTAAACAGCTTTATGAAGGTTGCAATTGGCATACAATAAATGGTCCATATACACTGTGTCATTGAAGAAGGACTGAAATTAATGCCATGCTAAATGTTGACCACTGTATTCCGTTCTGTGTTTAACAGTTTTAAACCTTTCCTTTTACAATGAGACTTCCCTTATGGGTCAGACAATTGTTAGAAAACATATGTAGCCTTTTTTATCTGTCTTTGGCCTGAGCATCCAAATTTGAAAACAAGCACCAGGTCAGGCTACATGGCTTCTTTCTCCACGCTGTCGTCCAGTCCTCATAAGTGTTTGGACTTCAGTGCTTGGGGATGAGCTGTAAAGTGCTGATGGGCTATTCCATGAAGGGTTTGAATTGAAGATAGGAACTGCCAGTGGCCTTTTGCCGCCAGCTCATTAGTGCTAAATAATGCTTAACTGTTCCACTGCAAAACCTGTGCATGAGCTAATAAAATTATTTTTGCCTGTGCAGAGGCAGGAATAGAAGTTCTTTCTCAGCTGTCGCAACTGACTGGCACATTATTTACTGCCCCCACTGGGATTGCAACTGGCTCTTACCAACACAGTAAGTGTCTCTGGGGACTCACCACCGTGCCCAATCACACCCACCAACTCCAGGATCACCAAAAGACAAAGCACAGCTAACAATGCTGGTTCTGGCTGATGTCAATTCCTGTCTTTCATTCCTTCTCTGAAACTGTCATTTCCCATCACTCAGTTATTTGCTTAGAATGGGATTAGTTATTGCAAATATTTGCTTCAAACCATCATTTGCACAAACTCAGCTGAAAACATCATCTTTAACAGTTACACAAAGATGTATCATTGCTGATCTAGAGAAATAACAAGTACAAAGAATAACTTTTCTTAATCAATATGGTTTTGTTTGGAAAAATGAATTGCAGCTATAAAGAGATGATAAAGAAGCTTGCCTGGGTTCCCTTTCAGTAGCATCATCTGAGAGGAAAACAGTCGATGATAAAATACACCTGAAAGCAAAGCTTCATTTAGATACCACAACTCAAGATACTGGATCAAAATGTAACCCTGGTTGACCAACGAGAGAACCAAATTGCTTTGTTACAGTAACACTCAGCATTTCCGCCTTTAAGGCTCCCTCACTTCTTATCAAACAGGGCTTGGGGTGATGTAGAAACTATATAAAGCATTACTTCTTTGATCCCCAATGCCAAGTGCCTTTCAAGCCCGGGGAGAGCTGGTATGATTGGGAAACTTGTAAGGAAAATGATATAATGAAAAGCACATTGACTTACTACAGATTGTAACAGAAGTCACTTGTTAATTTTAGTTTATATAGCAGCATCACCAAATGATAGCACGTTTGGCCCTGTGGAGAGCGGAATCGGCCTCGCAGAACATAGCAGGGCAGACACTTGTCTATGGAACAGGTTTTTCTTTTCTTCTCCTGTCTCCTCTTCCTCCTGGTCATCCTCCCTTCCCACTCTTCTTATTCTCCTCCTAGAAGAACACTTATAAAGACTTTCACATAGTTAGCAATAAGCATGGTGGGGAGGAGAATCAAACAAGTCTATCCATTCAGGACAGAAAATAACATTTAAATGACACTGTAGCATTCAGTAATTGATTTTCAAGGAGAGAAACTTGCTTAAGCACCCACTAGAGCAGCGGTTCTCAACCTGTGGATCACGACCCCTTTGGGGGTCGAACGACCCTTTCACAGGGGTCGCCAGGTACTCGTATGTGGGCATATCTGCATGTGGGCCTGGAGACGGATAGAGGAGCAGTGTCTCGGTTCCTAAGAACATCGAAAATATGTGTTTTCCGATGGTCTTAGGCGACCCCTGTGAAAGGTTGAGAACCGCTGCACTAGAGTCACGTAGGGATATTTGTAGAAAGAGATAGCGGCTTGACCTAATGTGAGGAAGATACATGTTGGCTATTGCAGGGACAACGTTGGATGACTTGATGGGGAAACGAGGTAGAGCAGGGTGTTCTTGTATTTTCATAAACATAAAACGGTATATTCTTACTTAGATATCTACTCCACTTCCCGATGCACAAATCCAGCAGCTGTTTAATTTTTTATTTCAAATATAATGTGTCACCCTTATCTACCAAAGAGTAGATAGGCATTTGAAATTATTTGCTGTGTCCTTTTTGAGTTTTTAATTTTACCTTTGAAAGCAGACTATGGGTGTTTATCTTAGTCTCCTAATGAGAAAGGATAATAAGCCTGATATAAATACAACTAAGTTTTTTTTTGTACTATAAACAACAAGTGGAATTCTTTCTTCTGAGTTTATGTCTGCAAAAATAAAAGGAGAAAATAATGTCAGTTCTTAGTGACTGGCTGGGACAACGGCAGGAAAGGGGTCCCCCTTCCATCTACTTCAGCGAATCTAAGCTACAGACGTGGTCCAGCCTCACGGATTTCCTGGAAGACACCTTGAAATCAGTAAGGAAACAGTTAAGTCCTATCTTCAGGGGGCTGCAGAAAACCATCAGTGGCAGGATGATAGGTAAGAACTGTTGATACTTCTGTTGCAGACTATTTGTGACGTTTGTTTCATATCCAGAGTGAATACAAGTGTAGGAATGTACAAGTAAAAGTTGACTCTTAAGCATCTTCGGTAAAACTGTTCCCTTTGTTTTTCATATCTCCTTTCAAATATGATGAATATCCACTAAGAAGAAATATTAACTATTATTTAACAAGTATTAAGTAAATATAAAAGGTGAATAAATATATTCATCTTCAAAATGCTGAAGTTAGTTCCTGGTTTCAGATTTTACCATCTTGTTAATCCTATGTCAGTCAATAATTTACCTAATCAAAATTTGCTAAGTGTTTGCTAAGCCAGAGACCTCTGTCCTTTTCCCACTACAATTTGCTCTAAAAGTTCAGCACCTCTTAAACCCCAGCACCCATTACGTAAATTATTCTACAATTGTGTTCTGTCTCCACCTAAAATATATAATTTGGTGATTGGGCTCCATGATCCTTTGCTGAGCCCACTGGACATTGTTGAATCTATTTTCTTATTTACACTCCATACCCATGATCAAATTATCATGAGAGGTTTTAGGAAACAATTTCCTGTGTCAACTGGTTCTTCACCTACATTAGTTCTTTCTTTAAAATACATTTTTTTTTTGCTTTTATTTTTTACCATCTGGGTAAATGGGTTTTCCATCCACCTTAACTACCTATTCAAATTTTCCCTAACTCTTCCCATCTGACTAAATAAAACACCCTATAAATGCCTTCCTTCCTTTCTTTCCTTCCCCGGCCCTGTTCCTAGTTAACATCTGTTTACACCGTTACTGACTACACAAGGGCCATAACACATAAGTGTGCATGGAGGTATTTTATGTCAATGTATGTCCTACATCTTTTCACATAATTGCCTCCCAAACAGGGGTTTGTCTTTTTGGCTTTAACTCTACTACATGTAGTAGATGTTCAATCAATATTTTAAAATAGCTATGAAGTTATAAACAGGGAGAAATTATTTTTCCTGGTTCTTTTTTAGATATTAAGAACTAAAGAAGAAAGTGGAAAGATTAGCTTTTTAAGGACAAGAGTATTTTTGGATGATATATGTAAGCAATGAGAAGTCAAATGGAAGAAAATTCTGTTCATCTAAACACGTTGTCCAAAATATTTTTTTAAATGTAAAAGATGCCTATGTACGGATATTTGTATGTTTCTTTTTTGGGGCTTAAATTATTTATGTATTTGAGCACAAAGATAAAAGGGAGTGTGAAGGAATCTTTGGTGGGATTGAGAATCTAAAATTTAAATTTATAAGTTTTGTTTTCACATGTTCTCTTCTTATTGTCATACTTAAAGATTTTATTCAATACCAGTTTTGCCAGAGTGGGTGCTTTTTGCATGTTGCACATTTAGTTGCTTTTGCCCATTTTATATTTTATCATGGGAGATAATCCTCACGGCATAATAGAATTTTTATTTTTATTCTTTGCATTTTTATCCACTAAAAAGCAACTATGAGAGCTGAGCTTTTTTCCTCCTTGATCACATCTCTTACATAAATCAATTACAAGACATATGGCCTTATATTTACAGGACAGTTTATGTTTGACACCATGGGTATGACTAACTTTCTGAATAACCAAGAAATTGCACAAACTCTGGCAGAGGGATTGATGGAGCTTTCAAAAGAAAATACTGTAAGTATTTTTTCTGAAGAAAGCACACTATAAAACCCCAACACTTAAAGAAATTTTTAGTTTGCTTTTATTGTTTTTGGTTTTTTTTTAAGCCAGTTTGTCCCTTCAGGGGCACAATTCCTCTGAAAAATTACATCAGTTTGTAAAAATAGCCATTGAGAGATGCTGGGTCCAAGATCTATTAGGTTACTAAAACAGACAAGGAGGAAGATCTTCTAGGTTATTTCAAAGTGGACTACATTGTGCACGGCTTTCTGTCCTGTGATTAATTTCAATAAGAAGTGACATCTTTAAAAAGCCTGTTAGTGGCTTTATATTTCACATAAACATTACTCAACAGATAAAACAATTAATAGTATGACAGAAAAACAGAGAAAGTGTGAAAGCAGGTATACAAAGACGAAGGGCAAAGAAGGCTAAAGGAGAGAGGAAGGGAAAGAGAATACAAAAGAACAGAAAGAAGCAAATCAGCAATTTGGTTGAGGACAAGCATGGGGGAAGCATGAAGCGTTTTCATAGAAACAGATCTTGGATACTCTCCCAGAAAAGTCAGCAGATCATACCCCTGCCCCCAAGACCATAGCAAAGCTATAAGAAAAATGAAATATGCTGCTGTTGGTCTTGGGAAGAAGAGACTAGGATAGGAAAAGGGATATTAATGTACCCCATGCTATTTAAGGTCTTTGATTTTCCAAAGAGAGATTCTCAAATCTTTCTCTTCCACTGTAGTCATTCTACTTGTGGGTGAATTTAACATTGTCTTTGCATATGTTCTCCTTATCTATCACGTGTCTGCTTTGGTTTCAACTTGGCTTCTCGGGTAAGCACCAGACATCTCCAGGGTTAGCTGTCCGTCGTGGAGTCTGAGAAGCTGCACTTACCCGTGATCTGCCTTCTCTGAAGACTCAGCTCTGAGCAGTCTAGCCAACCCCGGGGCAGCCCAGTGCTGAAAGCGCTGGCCAGCTCTGCTGATGAGATGATCAGGGATGTTCACAGGGCTGATCCTGGCGCCTTGGAAGGCCCTGCCCTGTCTCCTGAAACACCATAGGTTTTCTAAACGTGTTTGGTGTAGGTTCAGTGTACGTATTGCCACCTCATTATTTAAAAATAACCTTTTATGATATAATTTCTACTGTGCTCAAAACCATAGCCTGAGATGGACCCAAACCTGGGAGCTTCACAGGGTGTTTTTCCCAGTAATGCAGCTGCTGTAGCTTCTCTCTCAGGCCTTCTTTCTGCTGAAAGACAAGATCCCATCTGCCCCCTTCCTCTTCTGGTCCAGAGGCCGGTGAGGGCTCCTTAGGTTCCAAAGATCTCAAAACCCTCCCATAAGCCCTTGGCACCTAACTGAATTGTGACCATCAGAAGAGAACCAAGAGTACATGTGATGGAATATGTGACTCACAACTAAGTCCCATTTACTGACTCAAATTGAATGGTCATTACTTTATTTTCTGGATTTAGAAATGAATTAGGTAAAAAGCTGAAAACTCTACCAAAACAATATGTCCGTCTTTTCTACTGCACTTTTGTGGACCTATATTTCAGATGACTATTTTACATGAGAAGTTTACATGGGTGTGGCTTTTTCAGGACAAACCTCTGGAATTTTTGTCATATTTTCTGTGGACGAAATGTGGTGAAAAGAGCATGGACTTTGAAGAAAATGATATTCTGACAAAACGTGACCTAAAGGCAACATTCAGTTTATTCATGAAGGTAAAATTATTGTCGTATTTTTATGCCATTGCTTCACTGTGGAGTTAGATACATGGGCTTAAGAAATTCATACAGAATAACAATAATTTTACCTGGAAAGCTTCCAACTGGTTATTTCTCTGAAAAACTTCATTTTCTTGGGTTATTATTTTTTTTAAAAGGCTTTTTGTAGTATCATGAGTGACATTTAAGTCACTTACTGTAAGCTGCACCATGTTGACGGGACTAACGTTGTTTGGGTCCTGGAGGAAAAAGTGGACATTTGCATTTTGTGTCTTTCTCAGTTGAATCCTGAGATAACATAAAGAGATTTGTTTTGTTTTTTTCATTTGTAGCCCAGGACACTTTTTTTGTGTGTGGAACTAAGAATGCTTCTTTTTTTTCTTAGTGGAGATTCAAATTCATAAAAGAAAAAAAAAGTGGGTTTGAAGCTAATTCTTTGGACAGAAAAGAATCATTTTGACCACACTCTATTCAGGATCCATAGATTCTTGGCTATGTGAAATAACCAGGATTCAGGAAACACTGAAAACTGCATTGTCATTCAGAGAGCTGATTTCTGTGAAATTGTCATTTTAGAACCATTGTACGCCTGGAGAAAAACCACCTGTGTGTCTCTGATGATCACAGGCTTGGGATACCACACCAACACAAATTCATCATGGAGGGTAGTAGTAGAAATAGGCTTGTGAATTCCTTTAGCAGGCACATCACCTGTTGCCCTATTAACCTGATGTTCTGGAAGTCTTTGCCGACACTTCCTTAGAGGGCAGTGAAGTGCTGGGAAGGGCAGACAAGGACTGGTGGTGGCAGCATCCCCTCTGTCAAGCCGTCCCACCTTGCTCAGCCAAATGAAAGGCCTGCAGTGATTCAGACCCACCTCCCTGCTGTTACCAGATCTGCCCCTCAGTTTAACGCTCACCCCCTTGTCCCCTCGAAATGGCTTATTCTTCCCAACCACAAGCACCCTCCCTGAGAGGAGGATAAACACATTTCCAGGGACATCTATGCCCTTTATAAGTCAGAGCCCTGCTTTCTTGCTACCCCACCCCTAAATCTGTCTTTTCAGGAAATGCACGTGGATCATGTATTAGTCAGGGTTCTCTGGAGAAACAGAACCAAGAGAGAGAG